GCTTCAGGCATCTAACTTATTAGGGTATTGCATTTCGTTTTAAAAAGTTAGTGGGAATTTTCATAAAAATAAATTAGCGAGACTATGATTTATGGATGAGCCAATCAGAAGCGTTTTAGGGATTTCAAGGTCATGGCACTAATTTCAGTACCTGATACTCATGTACGATCGGTTCATAGTGGATTTTAGAGAAAATGTGAGACTATAATAAATGGGACTACTAGGAAGTTACTTTATTTGTGATTGTGGTAATCAAATGATTTTTGAACCTTGTGCAGACTACCGTGATGTTGTCTTTCGTTGTAATATGTGTTGGAGGAAGACATCTACTAGAATGGGATCAGTTCGCTCGATCTAGACTGAGACTAAGGCAAATTATGACACTTGTTGCGTTCTGGATACTAAGAGCACGAATATGACTGTCTGCTACCGGATACTACGATATATACCGATGATTGGAGAGCACACAGATGGCTACATAAACTTGTTGATATGCATCGTTTCGTTGTCCATAAATGGCATTTTGTGGATCAAACAACCGGAGTGCACACAAAAGATACTGAAACTATGTGGTCGAGGCTGAACGAGTTTTTGCGACTTTCTCATGGCTCCAGAGATCACCTTTTATGGAGCCATATAGATGGTTTCCTGTGATGTATTCATTAGGATTTTAGAATCTCTGAATCTCTTTGTAACCTTGACAAGTTTTCGAACCATCTAAAAGAAGTGTGTCCACTTTATTTTTACTCTATACTGTTTTCTATTTGGCTAATATTTTTAAAGGTCACATAGGATTCGTTCAAAGGTCGTCCATAAGTTATAGTCTCCCCGATAAATTCTATAAATTAGACGAAGAAAAGATAAGACTTTTAAATGATTCAGCTATAATTTTACTAAAAAGATTAGAGCTGGAATACTTAACACATACCTCAAAATTATTTAATCTTTGTTCATAATATTTTGAACCTTGTTTCTAAACCCTTTATTATGATTTTCTATTCAAATTCAATATTCTAGAAAACATGATTACTATAAGTGTAATTTATTGCTTTAATTTCATGCTTCTGTTATTGAATCTGTGGGGATAGTCTTTTTTATTTTTAAAAGGTATTTACCGAAGTTTATTTTATCCATTATCTCTAGTATGTATCCGTCTAAGACTTTGTCTATGTAAATCCGGTTATGTTTTTCTCTTACTAAGTGAGACTTGAATGCTACGTTTAAACTTAGAATTGTACTGATAAATTTGTAACACAGACTGAAGTTTTCTGTATGCTGTTTTAAACTGCTGTAGGGAATTAAAAAAATTTTCGACTTCCCACATTAATGTGGGATCTCAGTCAGTTCATATAAATAGTCCATTCAGCATTCGTCACAAATGATGAAAACGTATATCCTTTCAAACTTTGAAAGCCATATTGCATTATTCAAACTTTGTTTTTACCTAGTTTGAAGTATATCAGTAATAAAAATACGAAAAATCAATTCATAAGTACCACTCAAGAATGGACAGTTCTAATGCATAATAACAAAGTTAGTATATTTTAGTGGCTTATCTTCGTTAATCAATCACCGTTATTATATAAATCTCAAAGATGTTTGAAATCAAAAGGTAATAAGAAGCGGCAACTACAGTTTATTAGTGGATAACACAGATCACAAGGATACAAACACATTGAGAGAGTTTGAAGCAGAGATACTAATGTGTGTGTGGGAGCGAATACAGAGGTGAATTTATAGTCAAACGGAATCAATGCGCAACTAGACAAGCCAAACGCTAATATTAGGATTCGCGTACATATACACATAGGAAATAGAATGATTCATCATGCGATAGTTAAACTATCAACATTTTGCGAGAGCGAAATATGTCATGTGATCAAGAGTACGTGTTTATGCAGAGAAGATAGTGATCATAATAATGCAAAGAAACGGACCTTCACTTCCACAGTAATCATTCACTGTTCTCCTTCTATTTCCTTTAATATTAACCTCCTTCCACTAGATATTTCACTTTCGATTAATAATATATACTACTTATATCTGTTGACATTAGTAGCACACATCACACTTCCGTATGAATTTTGAAATGGTGATCTTTAATTTAGTGTTTTAGTTTCGACAGTAATTTATTCTCATAACTTTCCTATAAATTTCAAATACATTGGTTCATATTTGTTAAATTACCACACATTTAACAAAATATACGATAAGTTTCGATATGAATATCTTCGATGATTCATAGATTATGACTGATTGACAAAATAAACTATGACTATCATTCGATATTATTCCAGTCATAAATTGTATATTGTAAGCTGGATATAACTGATTCATTAATGATGCGGTTAAACTTTTCTTGTGACAATTGAGATTATTCCTAATGAATTACGTGATAGTGTGATGTGAGTTCATTATATTCACCTAAGTGGTATATAACGATGGTCAGACATAGAATGTGTTTCATTGGAAAATCGATAGGGGAAGAACGGGAACGAAGAGCAATTGGTATGAAAATGCAGGAACAATGAAATCTGAGACGATAGACTGATATTTGCAAAAAGACAGTCATGTTTGAGACAATTGATTGATATTTTGGAAATTAACTATTTACTATATGGTTCTCAGATTTTAGTGAGATGTTCTGTAATTTTGTGCTCAAATAGATTCGATTGTTCTTACTCGTGTTCTTTTTCATTACAATAGTTGTGTCACTCTCATAGAATGATTAATAATAGCTAAAATGTAACTATTCATTGAACAGCTTCACTTTGCGTTGATCGGCTAGTAACATATATCATTCACATTACCTACCTAAATACTTTAGAATTTATTATTAAATGATGGAATGTTATCATAATCTTATGGGCTTTTATTATTATTATTATTTCTTGTGTGATTATAAACAGATGTCACCATTAAGTTTATTTACATTTTGAAATTGAGTTACTAATTGGTTTGTCTTTTAAAGGTAAAACTATTCATCACAATATCTATTAGATGTAACAATAACGTGGATATGACTGACGTAATATCTTGAATTAAGTGTATCATATAAAAACAAAGTAGTAAATTAAATTTTAATTTACACAGTCATTTTTCCATAAGGTTAACATTTTGATTTAAAAGAAGAACCATTTATTGAGGTGAATGTTTTAATCTTGAAGCTTTCATTATGTTTCTAGGCGATATCAACAGCACATAATTTAAAAAAAGGAGCATTTATTCATGATATCGTCTAAAAAGATATTAAAAGTTTCATAAGTAAACAATCCATTCCGGAGAATATAACATTTCCGTAATCTTTATCCTTAGAGATGGTAATCCTCTATGATGTCAAATGGATAACAAACATTTCAACAATATTCATGAATGGTATAACTGTAAAAAAAGTAGATAAAATGATCTCTTAACTATATCCAATACATTGGAAACTTAGGAAATACAATAGAAGTTATAAATAAGAGATCATTGTGTTTTTCAATTATTCAAACAAAGTTGTTTAAATAATATTGAATTCTTTTAAAATTTATTAAGTTAAATGTAAAAAGGAAATGAATTAAGTGATTTAAGTCATTATCCTGAAGAAGTTCAGACAAGTTTGTTGGACGAAACGTTGGAATTATTTAAATTTCAATGGCTGTGATCATTTTTCTATACTCGGTGCCCAATTATTGTTGTTAAACTATTCGTTCTAATCTTGACGAATATTTGTATAAAATAATGATAATCATGATTTGTTTAAGAAGGGTATATAGTTAGACAGAATAGATTTTGTTATTAAAGCTAAATTTTGTAATCTATCTCTTTATATATGAAAATACGTAACATCCATTAACACATGATTATACAAATAAAACACAAGAAAAGATGTTGTAATTAACTTATTAGATAACTGTTCTTGAAATATATCTCAGTTCTTTGAATATCGAATGTGATTGAATCCCACCTGTGATATCATGAATGTTCACAGCTAAAGAGTTCCATACTAGGATGAAAAACAACTGTTCAGTGTTTCCAGGTATCTAATATTAGTCTAACATCAGTCGATTCATGATATCAACCAAAAAAAGATAATTTCATTTAAGAGTTTATGGTCTTGAAGTAAAACATGTAACTGACGATAATAATTATTTCTGACATTTTGCAAACAATATTCAATTTTAATGGTTGAGATCATAAGTCAATTGAATTTAGACAATCATGAGCCCCTAAATGCTCTGGTACGGCCGAGAGTGAGGACGTCCAGCTCTCTCTCTCTCCAGATGCTTTCAAGTGGCCACGCGCATATAATCACTACCAGGGAAGTCTTACTTACTGCCTTCTCGCGGTATTATTGTTGTTTACGAAATTAAGAGGACGAAAAGCTAATGTCTGGCATTTTACTCGGATTGGTGGACACGGATGATCCATTTAGGAGATTTGGAAAACCCTGATTCCAAACCAATGGTGTACATGTACTCCACGATCCTAAGGAAGCAAATGACATATGAACCAATTGTTGATCACCGGCTACCCTGGGACTGCATGTACTGACGTTGCTCCACTACCTTGTGGATTAGACCATCTGGTCAAAAGCTATGGTTTGGCCTACTACGAAAACCACCTACTTCGGTTTGAACATCGGGCAGCATCCCAGCTCTCACACAAATTGGATGATTTATGTTGCGCAAATTAATTTGATGCCTACTTGTATCAATGTTTATGTTTTTATATAAATAATAAATAAATAATAGACCACCATGGAAAACCTGATAGCACTAGACAACTTTTCCATGGTGGTCTAACTTCAATTAACTCATGATTTCAATTATTAAAATCACTATAATATCTACAAACTCCTTTTGATAATATTCAGTTTGTGAGTTAATAATATATCTGTTATATTTGATTGTCGTTGATTGCTGTGCCGGAAAAACGCTGATCACTTATACTCGGAACGAGGGACCTCGGCGATTCCCGCGATGAGAAAGTAAGAACACAAGACTTGTATAAGTGAAGATTTATTGGCCCCAAACACTATGACGACGACGAATCAAAATAGTATAAAATACGCTGGTTTATATACTGATTGTACACTCATTTTGATTAATAATTAGGATTGAATCATATACTCAATTATAACAAATCACTTACTATGCATAGTTCCTGTCAACTGAATACAAGAATATCGTATATTATACAGAAGAAAATAAACCCAAATACTACACCGAAATGATTCTCATGTTGAATTAGAAGGGAAGTAATGTTGAACAAAACTCATAATGAGTAAATCAATCGAAAATTGACTTTTCTTTCCATCATATCAATATCTCTACTATCTAAGTTAATCACTCATTTTAATCTTTTGTTTTTTGTTTGTTTCATCATTTTAGATTTTCAAAATATAATGTTACTACATAACATGATAAACTCTTCCTAAACCATATTCTTAAAGGAAAACAGCGACGACAACGACAACAACAACAACAATAATAATAACAACAATCATTATTCATGTCTTTAATGACAGCTGATTTATCAAATCAAATTCCAAACTGTATTAATAATGTTAGGCATTATATGTTTAATTGGAATATTTGGTAATACACTTGTAATTATTGTATATTCATTAAAACAAGATCGTTTAACAGCTACATTATTTATACTTATATTAGCTATATCAGATTTTTTAGCATGTATTACCTTGATACCTGGTACAATGATTATAGAATATGTTGAATGGAATATTGATTCAACATTTTTATGTAAATTTTATTATTTTATAAATAATACTTTTATACCATTCAGTAGTTTATTAATTAGTTGTATAGCATTTGATAGATATTTTTGTTTATGTCATCCATTTAAAAATATTTTAACAAGAGAACGAGCTAAACGTGTCATTTTAATATTGATTTTTATATGTATTATATTAGGATTTAGTTCAACATTTACTGTTAGAGTTGAACAAATTCATTTTGATACAAATATAAACAATAATAATGATAATAATAATAATAATAATCGTTATAGCAACAAAACTATAGATTATAATTCAACTATCAAATTTGATTATTCATTTAATTCATATTATAAAAGTGAAAAATTTGAATGTACAGAAATATTAAAATTAAATCATACAATGATAGAAACAGTTCTATATCAGATTGTACAAAAAAGTCAAACATGCAGTTATATTTTATGCATTCTATGCGTCGTTACACTTTATATATTGATTTATCGTTCAGTATCAAAAGTAAGTTTAATCTTTTGTTTGTTTGTCTGTTTTTTCATTTGATAATATCATCTTTTGCTTACTTTATGAATGGTGTTTACCGTTGGGTTTTACTGAGGTTTTTCTTTGAAAAAATGAAGATGATTGGAAATTAGTCATTTGTTATGTTCAGTTTGACAATTTCATAACAGATAACATTAATGTTTAGCTTAAGTGGTTTAATTTAAGTGCATTTATGATCTGGTTAAACATGTGCTGGTTTAAATGAGTTATACAGGGTTACTAGTAAATTGTGGGTAATTATTAACAGATAATCCTAAATTATTATCGTCGTAGTTTATAAACAACACTGTGAGAGTCTTGACATAATATGACTTTTATACGAACTTAATAAAATCAATTCTGTCTTTCCACGGTGTGGGTAACCTGCAAGTGATAACCGTCCTCATACCTCTAACAGCACTCAAGACCACTGTATTCATAATCAACCTCCCTAATTAACTACTTTTATGAATCCGGTGTCCATCTTATTGTGTTAATGAGGTATGGCAACTTGAACCGATGCATATATGTGCCTGGTCCTACGTTGTAGCTGACTGACTGTCTTTTATGAAATACCTGAAACAAAAAATTCGACAGTTTTCATCGGTTAATTTAATAAGATAATGAAGTCGTATTGTAGGAGATGGTAATTAATTTTTGTGTTCACATCAATAACATAATTTTCAGATAATTTTTGAATGCAAAACCTAACAATGATTATTTTTGTATATTGGCAAACTGTGTTCACACTTCAAATCCATAGGACAGACGTTAAGTTTTTTCACATTCAATCATGAAGTTGCAAACTAATCAATTTATGATGATCAAGATGAAGTGTTGAAATACAACAGATGATTTAAATACAATGTTGTGAAATCATGAATATCTACCGAAGAGCCTAAGTTCTCGCTGGTAACATGATAACTGCGAAAAGAAAATTCATGAAGATCAAGCGTTGAATACGACAGCTGATTTAAATACGATATTACAAAGTCATGTGTGGGCAAGAATGATAATGATTGGTTGTCTGCTTAGTCAGACATGTAGACAGTCTGACAAGTGTCAGATGAGTTATCATATTCCCCTATCCTTATTATCACTTATTATTAATTGTTCATTTTTGTTGGATCGTGTCAGGTTTTTGGTGTGGAAATATATTTACGTTGTGGTCAGGCTAATCACGTGTCCTTGATCTGAATTGTGTTGAAGTCCTATAGAATAGACACTGGAAGAGAATCTAGTGTAGATATTCGTTTAAGGTAAATTAACGTCCCATTCGCGCATACGCGTATACAAAAGAATCTCAACCGTTATAATACAAATTCATAACTCTACCTAAGAGCCTAAGTTTTTTCTGGTAACATGATAACTGTAAACTGTAAAATCAGATATCAGATAGTCAGAAATCTTCGGCTATTGAATCAATCAAGTAAGCTAATCAAATCTAAACATGGAGTTCATTGGTACCATCCTTCCTAGGATAGTCTACTATTCCATTACTTATGCAGACGTTAGTTATACGTGTATACCATTCTTCAACTAACAACCAACTTTAAGGCTTAATATTTTACCATTTTGTTTATTTTCTTTTCATTTGTTGAATATGCGGTAAAAAAGTTTTCTCAATTTATCTAATCAATATTTAAACAAAAACAAAAAAAAACAGGTTGGGATAAAATAATAAAAAAAATTATTTTACGTATGTTCCAGATATTTGGTTAGTTTCAATATGGTTTTATTGATAATCAATAAAGTAAACACATTTACAATCATAGAAATCTATTAATAATATAATATGTTTATATTTTTTTGTTTTGTTTGTGTGTTTGTTTATTTGTTTGTTTGTCTACAAAGTAAACAAACATAACATTTCAACACATGATCTATCGAGTAGAAACTATAATCAAAATGAATCTTAGTTTTATATTATTAACGTGATTTATAATAAAATAAATGTTAACTATTAGATAGAATAAGATAGAGATAAGTAATTAACACCTAATGATGTTGAAAATATATGATGACTCGAAATGACCACAAGAAAGAAGGGTCATACTCAAATAAATTGAATTTTAATTATCTGGGTTACATTTAGAGGTATTTATGGATTCTTTTAAGTACTATTTATCTTCAAAGGTTATTGTTACTAACTGGAACCTGCTGAAATACATGTGTTTATATGTAGTTGAAATACGTACTACCATCATGATATGTTCGGCGCTCTAACCGGATCCCAAACCAATGGTGCATATGGGCTTCAGTATCCAGTGGCAACATCATGTTAGTAATGCAGATGTTCGGCATCGTGTGTTCGGGCACAGAGATGATAATTCAATTGGTGTCACCATCTTGAAACACCGACTTCGCTGGCTTGCACATGTTCTCCGAATGTCGTTCCAGAGAATTCCACGTCGTATATTATTTGCCGACGTTGGGACTGGTTGGAAAAAGCGGAGAGGTGGTCAGTGTATGACATGGTGTCGTGGCAAGAAAGAAGGCTGCGAAGGGCTGGCTTCTGTTAGTCCTTCATGACTCCCTGGCTGGGGTACCAGAGATGGTGCAACACAGTGGCTAGAGACGTTATCAGATATGACTCAGAATAGAAGCCTATGGCGATCCTGCTGTAACCTTCTTTTACTTTCTTCATAAAAAGTGGTTGCTTCTTCCTTAACTGAAAGATCTCTTCTGATTGTACCATTCTGTTTCCCCATTATTACTATTATTATTATTACGCTACCTTACACTAATCTGTTCGTTATTGTTCTCTTTTTTTACGCTCCTCACCTTCTTCTTCCTTCTTCTCTTCAAATTCTCATTGTTTTGTATGGCGCATATATATTTGGTGCCCTCTTGTACTAATATATATGTGTTAAAATAAATAATAAATAAATAAAATAATTTCACAGGTTGAAATCATGAGTCAGTTGAAGCTAGACCACCATTGAAAACCTGAAAGCACTGGATGGCCGTTTCGTCCTAGTATGGGACTCCTCAGCAGTGCGCACTCATGATTTCAACCTGTGAAATTTCCTAAATCTCCACAAAACTCATTCTGAAAATAAAACAATCATGATATACAAAATTGTTGAGTAATACCAGAGATAGTTTATGATTTTATATGTTTTTGTTCTTAAGGCTTTCATTGCATAACTGAGAGAATCGTTACAGAAAAAATATTTCCTGTAGATTATTATATGGTAATTGATATTTTTACATAGCTATTGAATTTCACGTAATTAAACATGTTGATTTAAAACTGGCAAATAGTTATAATTACGTTACGTTTATCATTTCGTTTAAGCCTGTGGAACTACGAAATAAGTTCAGGATTGTATTTTGCATCATTGTCATTTGTCGTTGAGTAAATGATTAAGAAGAACTATCAAAAACTTGTTGTTCATCATCAATTGTTTATTATGAATCATATTCAACATTCATTATGGTTCAAGATGTTACCTACTGAAAATAGAATTAATCAAAGGAAATTGATATAGATAAATCTAATACTTGCATTCATAAAATATTTGTCAGGTTGCTCTTTGTACCAATACCGTTTAACTTATTTAAAGCCCAGTCCTTCATTTTCTTTAATTTAATTAATAAATACGTATTTCAAGAGATTAAAACATTAATAATCCAAACTTCTTGTTGCATACTTATTACATTATTATTTATTCAATTATTTTCACTAACCGTTTAACATTTACTTACTTAATTACACTTGTTACTCCTCATGATGGTGCGTAGGATGCTCACCAGGATTCTCCATTCAACTCTGTTCTGGACAGTCCTTTCCAGTTCTTTTCAGTAGCTATTCATCCTTTACATGTCTTCTTCCAATTCTCGACGCAGTGTTTTCTTTGACCTTCTCTCATTCATTTCTCTTCAGGATTCCAAGTTAGCGCTTGCCTCGAGTTGTAGTTTGATGATTTTCTCAATGTGTATCCTATCTACTTTTTAACGTCTTTCCCTAGTTTCCTCTTCGTTTGAAAGTTGGTTTGTTCTCTCCTATATTAGACTGTTTCTGAGGGTATTCGGGTTTGAGACTTAGTTTCTTTTAAATTCACCATAAGTTAATTAGAGATCATTCCTACATTCAAATGTTAAACGGTAGAATTTTGTTTGAACACAATAAAAAGTTAACCGGAAAAAAACTACATTCGCTTAAGTTTTATTCTTAATGTATAAATGAGAAAAAAAGCAAGTTAATTTATCAGTTTGATAAAATATTTCCTTTGCTATCAAGTATACCTACTTTTATTGGTAAAGAATACGTATTATCGAAAGTGAATGATGAATAGAATAAAGGGCGGCCTGCTTGAGCATCTGGGCTACCTGTTCCTGTCATCTAGATATTTCAACAAGTAATCTATTTTTGTTTGTTTTAATATATCATTATGTTTATTAATCGCATAACCTATTCTGCTGAGTTTCTGAAAAGTGTACAACCTTTCGTTGTCAAAGTTACAAAAAACTCAATAAGAGACAATGTGGTTGCTGGCAATATACAACGAAAAGAATGAACAGTATTCAGATGTTTATTTACTGAACTACTAACATCTAGCTGGCGATCACTCGATATTTATCGCCAGGACCGACCAAGAAGAAAGAAACGGAAACTTGTCGAAATACTTTACGCTGAGATTTCTATATTTTACCAAGAATATAATATTGAATCAAGCTGATAATAATAATAATAATAATTACTGAAGGATGTATTTATAGAAATCGTATATATTCAAAATTACTTTCGTTAATTTCTGTTGTTTATTCAAACCAAAAAAACCTCGTCAGGTCAATACGTCTGGTAAATTCCAAATGTTCCGTTTTATCTAATTGACAACTCTGAACAATTCTGAATGCTCGAAACGTTTTTTAGAGGTGGTAGATTGAAGTTCTTTTTTTTAAAAGGATCCCACATATAATTCAGGTTTTCTCATTATAACTCGTAAGAGATTTTGTAATAACCAAATGTGCATGAATGTTTGGTTTAAATGTATTGATGAAACGTTTGATAATTAGTAATATATTTGATTCTTACTCTGAAACCTAACAGTCACTTTCTTATGTCTTTACATACCATCTATAGAATAGAGGTAAACCATCAATTCACAAATAACGTTTAACACTGCTTAGTGAATTACAATGGTTTAACCTTATTTTGTATTTAATATAAGGCAAATAATTTTTCGGGTATATGCAACGTTTATCTAGAACATGTATATACTTGTCAACTTTGGTTTTTGACTTGCCGGAATGTATTAAATTCACGATGTTATTATCACTTTTAATTATCGCTAGTTAGTTAATTAACACTATGAAATGATAATTTACCATGAGTGTATATAAACGAGAAATTCATTTACGCTGTAATATAGAAATGATGCAGTTGAAGGTGTAAAATTAAAAAGAAAACAGGAAAGACTTATGTGGGGACTGCCCACGGGTGAACTCGAAGAAGCTCTAGGAAGGTCAGAAAGAGCTGATGACATTCCACCAAGTCACCTAATGAAATAATATTCCAGTATCCCTACGTATACCTCCCCTGTTGGACAAATGCTAAATACCACTGTATGCGGATTGGATGACTATAAATGATGATTTTACTTTTACTAAAATCTATAAACACCTGACAGTATTGTACCATATTTTACACTGTTTGGAATAGCATTCCTTCTCACTTGTCTTCTGTCTTCTCGTTTGCAACTTATAGGTTTCTAGCGTTCGAGTGCTGAAGTTGTAAGCGGTATATCAACAATCCAAGCTCTAAATATAATAGCTATCATTTTTATGATGCAATAATTTGTTTTCAACAAGCGATAAAATTATAGGTCGTTTCTTTTACCATCGATAGATTAATTGTGAATGAGTTATGCCAATCATAAATGTCCAAAACTCTTAGTATATATTAACATATCTTGTTGGTTTAAATCATTTTGTTAATTTATATCATGCTTGAAAAGAAATAAACTATGAAATGTCTCATGCTCCAATTCATTGAAATAATAGTCAAGACAGTTACATATATGTACTAAAAGTAAGACATTCACTTTCTTCAGATAAACAAGAAAACTTTATTCTTCTATACAAGTTAAAATATAATATTTATTGTCTGAGTCTTCGTTGATTCAATTCGTAATTTGCCAGTGTTTATATTTTTTCTACTTTTAAACATTATATGTTAGATTATCACATTGAATAGAGAATCTATTCTTGCATAGATTTTCATCCGTTTATTTCATTTACACGGTAGACTATTGAAATTGAGGTGTAGTGTCAAGATGAAAATGTATCGACTGTTATTTTTCAAAAATAAACATTACTGATTTCAAATGATATATGGATAAGTATATGCTCCAATAAAAAAATTGAATATTGTGAGGATGGCCTACGAGTGAAATCAAAGAAGCTGATGACATTACACCAAGTCATCTATTGAAATAATATTCCAGAATCAAATAGACACTGTTCGGAGTAGCATTTCTTCTCACTCGTCTTCTATTTTCTCGTTTTCCAGTTATAGGTTTCTAGCGTTCGAGGGCTCAAATAGTACGCGGTATATCAAGAATCTAAGCTCTAGATATTATATATATTATAGAGGAGTCGTGAAAAACGCACATATAAAAAGATAGAAACATCCACAATAAATTTGTTATTTAGCACTATTGCATATTGTTAGTTTAAGCATGGAATAGATCCAAGCTATGAATTGCGACAAAATGAAAAAAGATTGTTGATGTCAGTGATGATATTTAAGCAGAAATGGATGGTCGCTAACAGTGGGATCCAAAAACGCGCTTTTCATCCTATGTGATATCCGTCAACTGGACCACCAAGATTATGAAAATCTTGAATGAATAAAGTAACTTATTGTTGAGCTATCTGGGAGTTAATCTCTTCTTAGGGCATAGAGAATAATTTTCCAGTTCATCTGCTCATTATTGAAGTAATAAGATTTCAACCGTATTTCAGAGAAAATGTATCGCTATGTTTATTAATTTACTGTTTAACCATAATTTCAAATATAAAACAAGCGTGTTGAAACTCGAGGTCTGGACACATAACTAGACAAGATTTGAAGCACAATCTTCGAGTAAAATTACTATTTCACTTAAACTATAATAACATTTATATGTTTTTTCGTTAGGAATGCATCTTAACAATTTCTATTGGTACTAAATTAATTGAGTTGGACGACTGACTAGTCATATGTTGATCAACTTTCTAATGAGTATTATAGAAACTATCAGTGAATTCACATCGTAAGTTAATTACTAACCAATAAACATGCTAAACTTACGTAGTTCATAAACACAATACTTGACACAATAGTTACGTACATTGTGCCGGCTCAGTGGTCCAGTAGGTTACGCGTGCGAATCCCGCGAGTGAAATCGTGGATGCGCACTGCCGAGGAGTCCCAAAATAGGACGAAACGGCTGTCCAATGCTTCCACGTTTCCGACGGTGGTCTAACATTAATCGGCTCATGACCTTAATAAAAAAAAGTTACGTACAGTGATTGACTGATTGATACATAGTAACATTAACATACCAACAATATTTCAATAATAGATATTCATCAATCATTTTCATGTTACCAAACAATATCAACACACATCATTGTCCACATATTACTAACATTTTGATTAAAAGTAATTAGAAATTTACATGTGACATTTTAATTAGTTGTTTTTTTCAGTTATCTGAACTAAATCACTACATGAGAAGCAAAATAAATAACTTTTATTCTTAAGTTAATAATAGAACACACGCTAGTTCAAGTGGATATTTAGATTGATATAGAAACATAATAAGATGTGTAGATGACAGGTAATTAAGATTAAACTATTTAAGAAAAAGATGTTGTTATTCATAAATAATATTAAGAGGATATTTATCATAAAGATTATAATGATGTATAGCAGGCAGAAGCTTGAAACGTATAATTTTGAATATGAGAACTGAGACTTTTTGTTAAGTTATGAATAATGTATCGAAAGGATTTTTGTGTATATTATATTAATTTCAATAGTTGAGATCATGAATCAATTGAAGCTAGACCAACATGGAAAAAGTGGAAGTGGTGGATGACTGTTTCGTTGTATTGTAGGACTCCTCAGCAGTGAGCATCCACGATCCCGCCTCATGAGTTTCCAACCCAGAACCTATCAGTCTCACGCGCGAGCGCTTAACCACTAGATCACTAAGCCAGTATCTAATGCTGTTATTGTCTAACTTCAACCAATTCACAAAATTGAGCGACACATCTACCATTGTACTGAATGTATTATTATGGAAGGATTGAATTTATCTACAACTAGATATAAGAAATAGTGAAACACAAGATTCCACTGAACAATAACAATGTAAGATGGTATCATAGATCTATCGTTCTACATATTCGAGGTTATTTTAATAGGTAACATAATTTTCCACTTGTTTTTTTGTTGTTTTTTGCAAAAATCAATAAATGATTCAATTTGATCTATTAGAAACTGTCGAGTTAAAGTATTCAATAGTCATATTTTAATTTATTTGTTTATTATTATTATCCAATAAAATCAGATCATTTTAGCGGTTAATATAAAAATTGATCGAAATTAGGTCAAATTATTGAAAGAGCTTAATTTTTTTTGTTTTTGAGATTCATTCCTGTTAATTGTTCTTGATAATAATCCTACAGTAATAAATAATGCTTTAATAGATTATTATAAAAAAGGGGGTTTTGTCGAGATTGTAGTGGTTGAATTCATGAGTAGATTAAAGCTAGTCCACTATTAAAAACCATCGATCCATTGAACGGTTGTCCAGTGTTTCTAGGTTTTTCATAGTGGTCTACCATTAAAAGACTCATGACTTTAACTATTAAATTGATTAAAAGTCCACAGAAATCACATTCTGATTATAATCAGCATATGCTCAATAGTGACTGGCTTCATGAGGTATTTCTTGAACTTCTAGTGAGGTTCAGTGACCATTAGAGTTCATCTGAGTATGTTGTGAGATAGTAACTCACTGAAATCAATGGTGGACATGTGGCTTAATTTCGTGAATTAGTTGAAGTTAGACATTAACAATTTTGGATGTCGACTCAGTGGTTGAGAAATTAAGCGTTCAAGTGAGAGTCCGATAAATACTAGGTTCGAATCCTACGGGCAGGATCGTGGATGCGCTCTGCTGAGGAGTCCCATAATAGGACGAAACGGCCGTCCAATACTTTCAGGTTGTCTAGCTTCACCTGACTCATGAATTCAACCATTAAATTACTTGTTTACATTTCATTATCTGATACATTGTTTTCTCTTTCTCTCATGTTTTTTTTCTTCTCAATTATTAGGTATTTAAAAAACGTTTAGAATTAAAAGGTGTAAAAAAAGAGAATAAAAAACATAAAAAAATCGAAAAAAATCATAGAAAAAAGGAAAACTGTGAATTTACACTTAGAAATTTATTTAATTATCAATCGAAAAAAATACAAATATCCCCAATGAAATTAACATTAACAAATCAAGATAATCCATTCACTCAATGTGATGGATTCAATCGACGTATAAATAATACTATAATATCTGAATCAAGTTATACGGAAACAATGAAACCATTAAATGTTTTATCATGTAATACTATTGATATAAAAATAATGAAGAAATGAATGATCCATCACAAAAACACGATCATCATGATCATCATCATCAACAACAACATCACCACCACGAAGAACAACAACAACAGCACCATCACCACCACGAACAACAACAAAAACAACCACAAACAATGAAATCAAATACATTGGTTCCTATAAATTGTTGTCATAATACAGAATCAGTAATGATTCAACCAATTACATTAAATTATGAAACCAATTTAATAATAAATGAAGAGAAAACACGTCGTTCAATGAAAACAATCAAAGATAATATTGCATTTCAAAATTTAAAAACAGCAGCAATGTTATTTGTTGTAGCCGTTGTTTATATTGTGACATTTATACCAGCTATGTTAATGGCTATACAATATGTACCATTATATTTACCAATATTTTATTTATATTATATAAATAATGCAATTAATCCAATTATATATGGTTTTATGAATCCAAATTTTCGAGCTGATATACATCTACTTATTTGTCAAAAATTAAAATGTATATAAAAATGAATATGAATGATACTTAACAATAATGAATAAAGTGAATAGATCATTTGATTCAATTATATATTGTTGAATAAAAAGATCTAATCTTATTCTAAATTTATGGATCAATTCTTCTTCATTTGTATTTATACATTCCTTGAATTGAGATTCGATATATATAAAGAGTATTGTATCATTGTATTACATAATATATATGTCTATATCTATTATATCCTAATTAATTGTAAATAATGTCATATAAGTTGCATATGACTTGATTATAACTGCAATAACAAATACTATTGTTAAATTACATATGTATCTAAACATAAATGTTATTTCATTACTATACATCATAAAAAATTAGTGAAGATATTCTTTTTGTTCTTATGAACGTTAAACTAGTTGTTCTAAAAGCAATTCTGAAGTTTTATTCGTTAGTAGGTAATAATGAATAGGTGTTATGACTTTTAATGAAAAATGTAACTAATTATGTATTTATCAAGTACATGAAGTTGTAGAGATTGTTGAGTTTAAAATGATATTATGATTGGATTAATCACAAAGCACAATTGAAAACCTGAAATAAAACATCCGATAACCGAGACCGAAAATCCTGAATTCGAATCCGGTGTGCGGGATTGTGGATACGCACTGCTGAGGAGTCCTATACTAAGACGAAATGACCGTCCATTGTTTTCAGATTCTCAATGTTGGTCTAATACTGACCCATTGATGATATCAATCTATAATAAGATGTGTTCCTTCGTGATCAGCTTGAGAGGTAGATATAGATAGTCGGCTTAAACAAATCTTGAATTTCTTGTAAAGTCAAGTTTGCACAAATGTCTCAAATGTTCTAAATCGGTATAAATGGAGACCAGTTGTTAGATATCTACTCCTAAACTATACATGCACAATTTGCTAAGACAGTTCATTGTTTGATAAGATCAACATTATCGGAACACTAAGACTGGAAATACTATTAAAACTTCGACCACTAAGAATATATATTATGTAGAGACCCATTAAATTTCAGTGTTTATTGTATGTAAATGTTTGAGATAATATAGTCTGAGATTTTACGAAACGTCTTGTAAAATACAAGTAATTTCATGTGAATAAGGAAGTAACCTTGAAACACTACCGCATAATATAAAGGATCATGTGTAGTATTGATAAAACATTAGTTTAGATGATTAACTTTGCAGTTCTACACCAAAAGATGTAAGCAATGAAAATGTTTGTGATAACATGCACCATAGATGGTCATTAGTAATAGTAGCTTCTAATTATTCCTCATCATATTTTGCCATTGTTCCGTGCAACCGGTTGGCTTGATTTTAATAGCAATAGAATAGTAATATGAGAATATTTTATCAATTGAGTAAGTAATATAAACAACAACTTCTGATTGTTACTTTCCTTAATATTGAATAATTTTTCATAATCATTAATTTCAGTCAACCAATTCAAGAATCATACTTTAATACATTTAATTATTCTCTTAGTAAATAATCGTTCGATCCAGTGATCTAAACGTTGGACGTTCGAGAGTGAGACCGAAAGTCATGGGTTCGAGTCCTGCATTCAGGATCATGGATGTGCACTATTGAATGAAACGGTCGTCCAGAGTTTCCAGGTTTTCAGTGATGATCTAGCTTTAATCGACTCATGAATATAACTATTAAAGTAATCGTTCTCTTTTATCATTTTCAATAGTACCATAAAATTCAACAGATCAATGAACGTTCAGTATTGTTTCATTTTTTAGGTTTTGAGTAACTTCAAAAGAAGAATCATTTTAAAACCGAAATAAACTGACATGGATAAAGTAACACTGAACACTAAAACAAACAAAAAATATTCTAAATAATTCGGATTCATTTTCTCCCTTTTGTCTAGTCATGCAATGTAACAATAAATCTTATAAGTATGATAACCATCCTATACGATTCATTTATTATTCGATTTTAGACAAATTAAAACAAAATAAACATATTAAATTTCAAAGCATAAATTCAATATTAAATCAACGATTTTATTTGAATGGTTGATATTATGAGTCAATTGAAGCTAGACCACCGTGGAAAACCTGGAAACAGTGGACTGCCGCTTCGTCCTATTGTGGGACTCCTCAGCAGCGCGCATCCACAACCCCACCTCGCAAGGTTCGAACCCAGGACCTATCAGTTTCGCGCGCGAGCGTTTGACCTCTAGTTCACTGAGCCGGCATTCAACTGTGTTAATGCCTATTTTCTTTATTCAAAGATATTAACCATAATTCATGTTCAAATAATGGATATTGTAATAGTTTAAGCTGTAAATTATGTAATTCTCATTGATGTTTCTTCAAATAATTTACTAATATGTTCTTACTAATTACATTAACAAATATGTAAGAACAATAGATACAATATAGGGGCGGATTTGCATGCATATAGTATACAATTCTCTTTGAACCTAGCATAAAACAATACCATCATGTACTGTTCCATCACTCTTGGAAAATAAAGCAACCCGAAAGTCACGAGAACATCATTAGGGTATACAACAGACTAGGCACCACTATATGTTCTTATTAAGTACACTAATAAATATGTGTGTTTTACATTATGTTTTAATTGAAAGTACACTCTAAGTCTTATATGATGATATCAATTTCTTGTTTATGTTTAAATCATAAACCATCAAAATGATGAGTTGAGAGTAAATTAAAAGTTACATGATATGTTGATTTTGTTCGTATTTTACTATGATTTCGAGAAAGTGTCTAGGGTTCTTCTAAAAAACTCTCTCTTTTAATCAAAATTCATATGAATGATAGTTCCATAGAGTAACCCAATCTCAAAATAGATCACAACATAAAAAGTTTTATTTACACTAATTATTAGTTTGTTTCTTCTACCATAGTTTTATGTGATAATGAATTATGATCATTAAACTAAGTGAATTATCAGATTCACTTGGTGTTATTTTTACTTTTATCTCCTCATTGTTATGTGCATTTTGTGCAGATTGCCTTGATATAATATTCAGTCACTAGCTTTTTAAGCAAAGATTGGTAGTGGCTAGCAGTAGAATCCAGGATGCGTGTTTCGTTCTATTTGGGACTCATCAGCTTGATGTGCCTGCATTCCAGAGTTGATGTTCACTATTGGACTCGAACCCAGTACCGTTCGCTTCAAACGCCAACAAGACTGATCAGTTGCAGTCCTAAGTAACAATTGGAAGATACAAGTAAAACAACATCAAGTGAATTTAAACTTCACCATATTGTACAAGTAGGTGGTCATTAGGACTCAGTAGCTAAGTGAATAACACGATTGCTTTTGAAACGAACAGTACTTAGTTCGAGTCCTGGAATGAACATCAACTCTTGGATGCAAGTACATGCAGTTGACTAGTCCCAAATAGGACGAAGCCTGCGTGAAATCAGATGAACTAAATCATGATTTAATGATATCCACTAATCATTTAGTATACAAATTACATTCATTCATTTCTTGAATATTTTTAAGGTATTATTATTCAAAATTACTAGATCAAAGATGATCACCATTAGGTTTAATATTTCTTAGACGAATATTTTCAAAAAAAACTGTACTAAATAAATGTAAAACATTGATTCCTAAGTAATCTGACAAACTACTAAAATGAAGAAAATCACTTTGTAAAATCTTAGACTCACTTTGAGAAGTTCCGCAATAAAAAGTTTACCTATGTTCACAACAAAGTATTTGTTATATAATAAAGATCGTTTGATTTTTGTCTAGATAGCGTTTTAATGTCATGTTATGTGGATACTAAGTGACTGTAGTGGCTTTGTTTCTTTAATCGATCACCTTGATAACCGTGATAATATAAATTTCAACGGTGTTTAAAATCAGAAGGCAATATGAAATGGCAACTACAGTTTACTAACGGATAGTGCTGTATGCACATCGAGCGAATGTGAATCGGAGATGAGAATAAGTATACATGGGCAAATTTATAGTCAAATTGCATAAGGGCGAAGCAAGACAAAGCAAGGACTAATAATAGGATTTGAGTACATATATACATTGGGAGAAGAATGAATCATCGAGTGATATTTAAGTGATCAACATTTTAGCTAGAGTGTGCCATGTTCTCTAGTGATCATAACGGTACAAAGAAATATACGAATTGTTACTGTTCAAATAACATTGTCTGTTAAGTAAGTTAATAAAAGGGCTTAACCAAAATTAACCATAACCAAAATTGGTTGTATGATAGTTGCTATATAACTACCAAAGTAACAAAAAAACTGAAAAATGTAACATGTATTCAACCAATAAAATAAAAATTTTCTTTCTAAGTATCAATGTCAAGGTTGAACTTGATAGTTAATTTAATGTCGGTTATTTATTGTCTCTGAAGAAGTAACTTAGATTAAGTTACGAAACATCAGAAAAATAACTTTTCTATCTATTAGGACATATTTATTATTGAATACCTTTTTATTTGTATTCTAAAAGCTGATGCAAATCACACAATTGAGTTAACAAAATTACAGTATTTAGTAAACCCTTAAAATCTAAAATATTTTTTTCTTTTCAGCGGTTGCTTCTAATTAATAGCCGTTTGACTTTTATTACTTTATTATTAACTTTATTCAATATTATTTTTTTGGTACAATATAGAATTCTCCGCACAAAGTATTTCAGCAAGTTTCCGTTTCTTAATTCTTGGTCGACCCTTGCAATAGATAGTGATTGGTCACCAATTAGAATTTAACAGT